GGGTTTACCCACTTTGGGGTAGTTTTTGTACTTTTTTCACTTTTTGAACCCTGCCCTTCGAACTGGGGCAACATGGGGGGCCAACACTATGTGCCAATGAAATCTATGGGACCAGGCGCAACTTTCGTGGGATATAACCTATTTGCCCATTTGAGTTTTAAGGGGTGAAAAATGCGTCGAAAGTGTTGGGGGTGAGTTTTTTTAACTTTCAAAGGCGAATTCAGGGCAGAAGGGAGTGTTTTTCGGGAAAAAAGTGTTCATAGCCTAGGGATTTTTTTTACGAGGAAAAATGCAATTATTTTGGTGTAAAAGAGGGGTTTGGACCCTATTTTGGGGTTATGTTGGTCATTTTTCGCTATTTTTGCACTTTTTGACCCTACCCCGCGTCACAGGGATGGAGGGCAGGTCCGCCCAAAGTGTCATTTGATTCTCTAGAGTATAATGAACATTTCATATCAACAAACTACTGTTCCCAAACCATTTCTAGTATGAAAAAAGTGCATTGACATGTAAAAACCACGATTTTCAGCCCCAAAATAAACATACCCCCATAACTACCCCAAATATGAATATGGGATCGTAATATTTTGTTTTTGGGGGTTTTGAGGGATGCCCTTTCGAACGCGCATGGGCATTTGAAAATCGGCGTGTAACAGTATGGGATGTTTACTGGTTAGTCAAAATGTCCCAAATTAATCGACTGACTAGTCAATCAAAAATTTTCCGCACGGGATGTGATCGAGTGGAAATTCACTTGACAAATGACAAACGCTGCATCGAAATGTGCGTTGTTTGTTTTACTGAATTTTGACAGCTCATTATCCCGCGCGGAAAAACAAAAAAGTCAGTTTAAAAACATTCTCAACCAAATCAAAGACGGTTCATTTTCCCTCTCGATTACTTTGACAGAGCCACTTCAAATTTGAGATGTAGTCAGGTTTTTTGGATTTCATATAATTTATAGCTAAAATGGAACAGGAACAGGAACAGAATCACAGACGTGTGCAAGGGGGGGGTATTCCGGTTTTACCCCCCTCTAGGATTCCAAAATGTGGACCCCCTCCCAGCGATGTGGAAAATTTGACACTAGATATAATCGATTTTCAAAAGTGAGGACCTTTTTTTTTTTTTTAGGTCTTCACTTGTTTTTTGACACCCATTGGCAAAATTTTAGACCCCCATTGTGGAATTTTGACTGTTTTACACTAGATAGAATCGATTTTAAAAAGTGAGGACCTTTTTTTTTTAGTCCCCACTTTTTTCGGAGACTGGTTTTACACTAGATAGAATCGATTTCCCGCCCCCCCCCCCCCTGGGAAAATCATTTTATCCCCCCCCCCCCCTAGAATTTTTTACCTTGCACACGTCTGCAGAATCAGATTAAATCAATAACATCACGTGCCCGTGAATATTTTGTACACAAGGAAACTAATTCAACTGAGAAAGGCAAACAAGTAATTTATGCGTGTTCATTATGCAACAAACTTATAAACGGAACAAAACCATCAAATCTCATATCACATATGAAGTGTGTGCATAACGATATTTATAAAACAAAAATCGAAATCAAAGGGACAAGCTATGCCGTAAAACGTTTGGAACTACTGCAAAATTGTGTTGAAAAGGTGACAATAAACAAGGAACCGTTCCGAAATATTCTCAAATCTGCATTCCAAAAATTAATTGCGAAAAAAGTGTGTAAATTGAATGCCGCTGGTCATGCGTTGAATTTATCAAACAAAAATTTACCTGACGTTAAAAGCCATCTAAAAGCGACAGCGAATAAAATTCGAGAACGCATCTCATCGGAAGTTAAAGGTCGAATGATATCGGTTATGGTTGATATTGCTTCAAAACACAGCCTTTCTGTACTTGGTATCAGCATTCAGTACATCAAAGATGGGAGCCATGTGATTCGAACCATCGGTTTAATCGAATTGAAGGAAAGACATACAGCCGATTACATTGCCGATTTGATACATTCTGGTTTATTAAGCTATCAAGTGGAAATCAGCCAAATTGTTTCATTGACTACAGATAATGCAGCAAACATGGGTGCGACCGTGAAACGATTGAACGAAATTTTCGAGCAGTCTGAAGACGAAGACGAGTCATGTGAAACGGAGGAATTTATTCCAGATAATTCGAATGTGATTCATATATCTGATGAATGTTATGAAGAAGAGCTCTATGAAGTGCTTCACGAATCGGATGATGCCGATAAAGAACTGTTGAATGACCTTATTGACGACAGCGATGAACATACCGATTTACTCAATCAATTAGTTTCGGATTTCAAACGAAAGTATACAACCTCGATAATTTACGTTAATGGCGTAAGCTGTGCCGCGCACACTCTACAGCTGGCCGCATGCATTATTTTAAGAAATTTGTAGAGCTGCCCATTTTCAAGAAAATTTAAGTAAAACACTGCCCATTTTTGAGTTTTGAGCTGCCCATTTGGGATTTAGAACTGCCCAAATGGGCAAGAGCTGCCCATTAAAATAATGCATGGCTGGCCGTAAAGGAAGCAATTAACTCATTAAATGATGGTGGAAGAAATTTTCTGGCATTGTGTCGGGCAATTGGCAAGTTTATTCGTTTGCCGAATACAAAATGCATTATCGTTGTCCAAGCAAATCTGAAATATAAGTGGGTGAGGCCAGGTGTTACCACTCGCTGGAGCTCAACGTATTTAATGGTAAAACAAATCGAATGTGGCTTTTTAGAAGAAAAAATTACAATAGCATTTGCTTTTATTTCAATTTACAGTTGGCTGACCTTTTGGAATGCAAAAACGTTGTGACATTTTTTGCGAAGAGTGAAAAACAATTTGCTTTGTTGTTGAAAAAGTGAGATGTTCTACGAGAACTTGTCGATGTTTTAGCTGTTCCTTACAACGCAACTATTGCAATGCAACAACCCCATTATACACTGTCGGATTTTTATGGAAAATGGATCCTTAGTCGATAGAACTGATTAAATTCACAAAAGAAGAGATCCGTCACACAGAAATTGCAAGCAAACTGCTGAAAACATTAGAAAAGCGAAAAGGCCAATTGTTGGACAATCCAGCTATGATTTGTGCTGTGATTTTGGATCCTCGCTATAGCAGTGAAATCGATCACGCCGAAAAAATTCGTTTGGCAAAACTCACCCTATCAAATGTGTGGGAAAGATACAATTTAAAAATGACTGTGTCTGAGGAACATGAGCACAATGAAAACGATCGAGAGGCAGAAAGCGGCGATGCCGAGGATGATATAAGCCTATTGAATTCATATTTCGCACAAAAAGGTTTAAGGCAATCGGTTTTGGAATCGAAACCAAGTCCTGATGCTTCGAAAAGGAATATTGACATTGGAATGCTTTTGGACAAATTCCTTAACGACAAAGCTGGTAGTTTTCTGCGATGTCACCAGTCTGTAATGAAATTTCGGCAAGCCAAACAACATAACTATCCCGAATTATTCGAGCTGAGCATGGTGTTGAACGGTATTCCGCCAACACAAGCGACAGTTGAAAGATTGTTTTCAATATTTGGCTTTCTTTACAATAGCTGGCGAAACCAACTGTCACCAGAACTGCTTGAAGATATGATTTTAATAATCACCAATGAATATCTGTTTAAAATTATAAATAAAGAAGATAAGGAGGCCGTCGATGGTGGTATTAATTAGATTACAAAAACAAATCGGTCAACAAAAAAAAACAAATCGAATGAAAATAACAGCTAATGTTTTTGTTTTATTTTTTTTTTTGCTTTCTTCTTTCCCTCTGCTCATTTGCATTCTGTGTGATTCGAACGGAATAAAACAAAAAAAAATTATCGCAAAATCATTCTCTTGCTTTTATGTTGTTTTTTTTCTTTCTTCTCTCTTTTTTCTCCTCGATCAATCATTCAGTGGAAAACAACGTACGCGTCTTGCGACGTACGGTTGCGTTCGTTTATCGTGCACAAATCGTACAATGCGGCAACGCAAGCAGAGAATTATCGCGCGATAATTATGCGATAACTGCCTTATGCGATGCCGTATTTATGCGTTTTGGACACATTGATGATTATTTACCAATCAATAGTACTGAAGTACAGTGTATTTGAGTCCGTACCTTCTTCACTACTGCTTGAAAGCACAAAGGAAATTAGAATAGAATAAAAATAAACTTAATCGGACATCCTAGCTTCAAGAAAAAAAAAAGTGTCTCATTCTCAATCATGTTTTATTCCAGCTGAACAATGATTTAAAATCAAAACTCGATCAATTGCTAATTGATGGCGATTTGCCGTCGATTCGAGATCAAGATGTAACCCATTGGGATCGTGATCGTCTAATGTTCTGCTTGATGTTCGACAACGAAGATGTTTTTGCCAAAGGTTTAAAATTGGTGGCTGAGAAAAGTCCCGACGAAATTCCCAATTTGAACATCGAATCGATGGATAACAAAAGTGGGGACAATAGTTCGGAACCATTGAATACCTGGCGAAATATTTCACTCATCAACATAGCCGTATTAAAGGATTTACATGTAGCCATAAAGAAATTGGGCTCCATCAATGCTGACTTCAATTCAACGGCAATTCATTCTGTGTATGAATATGGTCGTTGGGAGTGTTTACGAAAATTGCTCGAGAAACGAAAGAAAATGTCGTGGAGACCGGTGAAATTGTCGAATTTCATAACATTTCTAATGCGAGCACAGACCTATGACAAAGATTGTCGTGAGTATGTGGATAAACAGATTGATTTTGGCAAATGTGTCGATTTGCTGTTCAATTATGCCGAGTACGAAATCAACGAACAAAATATCGATCAATATTCACCGTTACAATTGGCTGTGATGTACAATAAGCCAAAAGCGATTCTTCATTTACTGAAACGAGGCGCATACATTGGAGTACAAGATGCTGTCGGTCGGCCAGCCATTTGGAATATTAATCCAAAAATATTGGAAAAACACTTTGATCATTGTATCACCGGTGAAAACTTGGTGATTTTTAACTTTGAAAATTTAATCGCTCCGTCGAGTGACTATCCAAATGATTTGTCAGCCATTGAATTCATATCAAACTCGAATGATTTCCGGCATTTACTCGAGCATCCATTAATTGCAAGCTTCTCGTCTCTTAAATGGACTCGAATGGCGTTAGTTTTTTACACAGACTTTTTGTTGTATTTTCTGCTTTCGCTGGCCACGGGATTTATTTCGATGTATTACATGCAAAACCCGAAGAAGTACTTGATTCACATGGGTTTTATCACTGGTGTTTTCATCACGTACATCGCGTTCCGGAGATTCGTCCAAGTTATTTTCCGCACTTTGAACCGACGAAGTTGGGAGAACTACCTAAACTTCTTGCTCACCATATCAAATGTGATGCTTTTGGTTTTGTTTGTGATTGGGGTTCAGTTCAATTTTCAGAGTTCAACATTAGCTGCTCTTTGCATTGTACTAATCACATACGAATTCTTTTTATTGGCCGGAACTTTTTGGCATTTTTCAATCTATTTCGAGATGTTCATCGCTGTGGCAACGAGTTCCATTCAAAGTTTACAGTTGTATGTCATTTTTTTACCCGCATTTTCACTACTTTTCTATATTTTGCTGTGTGACTCATCAAAAACAGTTCCACCAGAGCAAGAATTACCAGATTTAAATAAATTCTCAACACTTGGGTCATCCGTTGTCAAAACTGTTGTAATGTCAACCGGCGAATTTGATGTTATCAACGTTAATTTTGACGTGAATGCTATTAGCATCTATATTTTTATTGGGTTTGTCTTTTTGATTTCAACGGTTTTTATGAATTTGTTGAATGGTCTTGCCGTCAGCGATACACAGAAAATTCAATTTGATGCCGAGCTAAGGAGCTACAAACGAAGATGCAAAATGCTGGCGAGGTATGAAAATGTGCTGTCAAATAAAGGCCATTGGTTTCGGTGGGTAACATTGGATTTTAACATTGATTACATTGAAAACATTTGCTCAAAAAAACTAATTTAATGACATATTGTGGACCTATGTGCCATTTTCAGTCGAAGATACCGATTGTTGTGGAAAATGTGCAAGATTTTCATTCATTTGAACAATTTTGTGTACGAGAACAAACGGATTTATATCGAATTGGACGATCAGTGCAAGGTGTATTCGGTGAAGATGCTTCGGTCCAACTCGATTTCCATGAAAGTCCCTCTGAGGAGTTGGACCAGACTCAGGACAGCACCAATTGACTCGAAAATCATTCATCAAGCCCTTCAAGTTCGCGAGAAGAATTTGGTGAAAACGATCCGAGAACGAGAAGAAACCAATGAAATCGAAAAAGGAAACCTTACAAGTCGAATGGTTCGCATGGAGAAATCACTGAAATCAATCGAAGCCACATTGAAAATACTCAGCGATAAAATGAATCAGAAGTAATTTTAAATAGCTTAGGTAATACATCGATTGAATCGATTGATGCGAATTGATTTTCAGTATTTTTTTAATGATTAAATTCTTTAATTTTTATGTCGCGTAGTAAGGCATGAAACACGCCAATCCAAAGGATCGTTATCGAGTAACAACTTCAATAATTTAAAGACAACTTTCTAAGCAGGGACACTTCTTGGTTGATAATTGATATGCTTGAAATTTTCAGGCGATTTGATAGTGAAGCTCACTTAGAGAAGTAAAAATACTAGAAGATATCAAATTGAAGTTAATTAACATGGTGAATGATAAGCTGAGCTCACGAGTAGGTAATTTATCACGATTTTAAATGAACTGATATCAGCTTATAATCGTGAAATGAAAAGAAATTATACATGTGTGAATCAAACAGAAGAATACAAGATTTCGATTATTGGAAAAAAGCAGAGCCGTAGCAACACTGTTGCGTGGAGGGCAATTTTTTTTTCTAAATATAATTTAATTTTTTACACTAATCCAATAATTATAATTGTTTCATATGAGGGGTTAGACAGTGTGTGTATTGTGTAAAGATGCCACATGGCTCACTTAAACGCTCAGTTCATGTAGAGACGTTCACCATTCAGACTTATGTCATGCTTCGCTTGCGTCGTTTCAGCTAGCTGAATTATCCGTCTCAGTTATCTTACGATGCCTAACAGAAGCAACGGGTGTCGTTTTATTCCATATGTGCGGTAAATTGGAATGGCTCAAAAATTGAACCTCAAATTACGAGGAAACCAAACTGGTACACATCGTATTCGACTTTGGGACACTGTAGGACACCTAAAGTACAACAGATATAAACATATCTCAACCCTGAAATCTGAAGTCGGCGGCAGTTTGGGTATACATCCCTAAAATGATGATTTGTACAAAAAACGCTAATTTTACTATAAATTGGTAAAGAAATGAGCATATTTTTGTTCATTTCGCTAAAATATGAAATAATTCTACGATTAAAACCGACAAAAACATATTTGAAGTCAAAAATGTCATTTTCTTCATACAATATTGCGAGTTGAAAACATCACCCGGAGCAAGACCATTTTTCGACATTTCAAACCAATCAGACGTACTACCTGATATTACTGCAGACGTACTGCCTGACTATTTGGACAAGGACACAATTCTTTTAAGATTCAATGCTTTGGAAAATCGTAAAGTAGCGAGCAGTTTTGAGTGATTGAAAAACAAAATAAATAAACTGTGAATGCAGTCAAAACTATATACTTTTGTTTTCCATTGTCTTTAATTTTTTTTTTCCTTTTTTTCTTCAATTTTTCCTTATGGTATTGCTTTCATATATAAGAAAAACGAGTGGGCAGTGAAAACACGTGGAGGGGCAAAGCCCCCCTTGCCCCTTAGTTGCTACGGGCATGGAAAAAAGAGCAATGATTCAACTGTCTTCCTCTTATCAAGCGATCCATCTTTATTCATGTGATATAAAAAGAAGTGACAATATTGATTGAGGCTCCATAACTCAAGAACGAGTCGAGCAAATTCAAACCTGAGACAAGCATTTGAAAGGTGCTGTTTATGCGAAGGTTTTTATGTAAAAAACACCTCTGTATGTGTTTTGGTTGTCGAGTTATTACGGTTTGAGTGAAGGTGTTCCTTTCCCATATATATTTGCATATTACACACATTTCTGCTGTTTTCGCTGAGCATTGCATTTCTTTGCATTGAATTTCAGTAAAGTCAATTTTATTTTACATTATAACAATAACGGCATACATTGTCCATTTCTTACTTCACACATAATATAACAATTTGTTTATGATCAGCACATAATCACAGGCAAGTGTGCAATGTGCAATGACATTCGTTTTTTCAATGAAAATGTCATAGAAGGGGATGGAACCATTTTTGCTGCATCTTCTGAATATTATTGTTATTCGCTTGAAGAATTACAATTGGCCACTTTCGAAAATACATATCTTTGAATTTTCATGTACCATTCAGCTTAAAATGATTTGAATAAACATTGAATCGTATAGCTGCACTAAAGCATGAGCACAAAAATGTCATTTTTTTTTTGAAATTTGCTTCTTCTATTTTTTTTGTAGTATAGAATAAAATGAATGAGAAATGAGCAAGAAACGCAGAAATGAGCAATTACAACGTGTCTCTGAACTTCACCGCAGCATTATATGATGCATTACAATATCCATTATTGCATTGGAAAGGTGACGATGGCTATCATATCAATATTCCAATGATAAATCCACAAACTGGTAAAATGCATATTTCAAATCTACTCATTTTAAGTGAATGGAAAAATGTGAAACATTATTGTTAGTGTGGTGTGAACTATTGACTGATAGTAAGTATTATCCATCATGGATTTATTAGTGAACAAAATTTAAGTGAATGGAAAAATGTGAAACATTATTGTTAGTGTGGTGTGAACCATTAATCCAATTCTTCCAATTGCATTCTAGATCGTTACAATGGTAATCATTACTATGTTTGGAATGTCAGTGGCAGCAGCAGTAACGTTTGTAGGCTCATACTTTTTGTTTAGGCCGTCTTCATCTGGAGAACAGCATAGCGCAGCAGAAGCGACAGCAACTGTATCTACTAACGTGAATATACAACAAGTGACTGTTTCCGTAGAAATAATCGTTTTGCTGCTATTGGTGTTATTATTACGTGCTTTTAAAACGAAAAAGAAGTACTTCGGGGAACACTCATCAACAGTACAAAACACGCTTTGGATCGCAACATTTCGACTAATTCCCTTATTCCAACCAAATTTCGACAAAAAGTGTTGATGGGGTTTTGTTTGGCTCGTCAATATCTACAACTTTCACTAAGACATCAGCCCTTGAAAAGGCTTTCTGGGCCAGTTACAGTGTAAAATGACCGGAAAAATGGCAATTTTTCGGCATTTTTTGAATTTTTTGCCCTACTGGTCCCCCAGGTGGTAAACTTTTGTTCAGTTTTCGACTCGTGTCGTGTAGCCAGCAGCCGTATAAACAATTTGGCACTTCTTAGATTGCAATTTGGATGGAATTTAGTGCCGATTGATTCAGACATAGAAGACAAATTTCAGGCCAAAATGAGCAAATCACAAACATGAGCTTCGGTTTGACAGGTAAAAGCAAATTATTTCTACCCTTTCTGCCTTTGAACTTCTAGTATGATCCTTAGCGAACATTTTAAATACCAACACGACCAAATCGAGTGATGTTTTCACATATTTCTGGCCTCATATTCGATTTCAACTCCCAAAAAATCGACTTTTGACCAAAAAATCCTTAAGTATGGGCTTTTTAGGGATGCTGTCTTGCTGAAATGTTATTTTTTCTTGAAAATATGGAGAGTCTACCCAGACAAAACTCTCAAAATTGACTTTTTATGGTACCTCTCGAACAAAAGTTACGTTTTTCATGCATTTTGCTATGAAAATATCATTTTTTGTTCGAGAGATACCCCAAAAATCATTCATAAGAGCTTCTGTATAAATAGATTCCCAATATTTCCCGAACAAAATAACTTTTTACTAAGAAACTCATCCAAAAAGTGTATTTTTGAGGTACCTCCCGAACAAAAATGATATTTTCATAGAAAAATGCATGAAAAACGTAACTTTTGTTCGAGAGGTACCTTAAAAAATCGATTTTGAGAGTTTTTGTCTGGGTAGACTCTCCATATTTTCGAGAAAAAATAACATTTCATCAAGACAGCATCCCTAAAAAGCCCATACTTAACACTATGACTGTTCTTCATATTTGCAACATATTACTGTTCTTGGGGGACTCCAGGGCCCCCAAGATATTTCATATGAAATCTGGACTGTGATAAGAGATAACAAATTAGTGTCTGAAGCAAAGTTGTAATACTCAAAGTTTGCTATAATTTTGGCGCAACAAATATTGCTTATCTCTTATCAGTTCCGCGAAAAACGCGAAAAACGCGAAAATCGCAAAATTTTCCGACATCGTTTTAGTGAAGCTGATAAGAAGTAAGAGACTTGCCTCTTCGACAGAAATGTAGAGCAGGTGGAATACTACAACTTTGCCACAGACACCAAGTCGTTATCTCTTATCAGTTATGCGAAAAAATGATAAGAAAAAATTCGCGGTTTTCGCGTAACTGATAAGAGATAACGACTTGATGTCTATGGCGAAGTTGTTGTACTCAAGCTGCTCTACAACTTTGCCGAAAACCATCTGGTTATCTCTTATCAGTTTCGCGGAATACGCGAGAAACCGCTGAAAACCGCGAAAAAAACGCGTTTTTTTCTTATCATTTTTCACGGAACTGATAAGAGATAACGAGATGGTGTCTATGGCAAAGTTATAGCTCTGGTCGAGTACTATGATTTGCCACAGACCTTAAGTCGTTATCTCGTATCAGTTACGCGAAAAAATGATAAGAAAACATTCGCGTTTTTCACGGTTTTCTGCGGTTTCTCGCGTATTCCTCGAAACTGATAAGAGATAACGAGATGGTGTCTTTACCAAAGTTGTAAAGCAGCTTAAGTGCTACAACTTCGCTATAGACTATAAGTCGTTATCTCTTATCAGTTACGCGAAAAGCCGCGAAAACCGTGAAAAACGCGAATTTTTTCTTATCATTTTTTCGCGTAACTGATAAGAGATAACGACTTGGTGTCTGTAGTGAAGTTGTAGTACTTGACCAGAACTACAACTTTGCCATGGACACTATTTCGCTATCTCTTATCAGTTTTGCGGAATACGCGAAAAACCGCAGAAAACCGTGAAAAACGCGATTTTTTTCTTATCATTTTTTCGCGTAACTGATAAGAGATAACGACTTGGTGTCGTAGTAAAGTTGTAGTACTCGACCAGAGCTACAACTTTGCCATAGACACCACCTCGTTATCTCTTATCAGTTCCTTGAAAAGTGAGAATCTATGAATTCGCGTTTTTCACGTTTTCGCGGCTTTTCGCGTAACTGATAAGAGATAACGACTTGATGTCTACGGCGAAGTTGTAGAGCAGCTTGAGTACTACAACTTCGTCATAGACACCAAGTCGATATCTCTTATCATAGTCCAGCTATAATATAAAATAGCCATGGGGCCCTGTGGTCCCCCAAGAACAACAGCGTAACATGTTTTGCGGCAGGCTGTATTTTACACATACTCACACATATGCATATGTTTTTTTTTTCATTCGTGTAGAGAAATGTTCAATCTATACAATGAGACTTAACTCCGGTTGGTTTATACACTGTTTAGTACTTTTATTCAACTTTAAAGTTCGCTGGGGGCCCTGGGTGCCCCAAGAACAATCATAGTGTTAAGGATTTTTTGGTCAAAAGTCGATTTTTTGGGAGTTGAAATCGAATATGAGGCCAGAAATATGTGAAAACATCACTCGATTTGGTCGTGTTGGTACTTAAAATGTTCGTAAAGGACCATACTAGATGTTCAAAGGCAGAAAAGGTAGAAATCATTTGCTTTTACCTGTCAAACCGAAGCACATGTTTGTGATTTGCTCATTTTGGCCAGAAATTTGTCGCATATGTGTGAATCAATTGTCGCCAAATTCCATCCAAATCGCAATCTGAGAAGTGCCAAATTTTTTATACGGCCCCTGACTATACGACACGAGTCGAAAACTGAACAAAAGTCCACCACCTGGGTGGCCAGTAGAGCAAAAGATGCAAAAAGTGCCGAAAAATTGTCATTTTTTCGGTCATTTTACACTATAACTGGCCCAGAATGCCTTTTCAAGGGCTGATGTGGTAAAAGTTATAGATATTGTCGAGCCAAACAAAACCTCATCATCAGTTTTTGCCGAGAATTAGCTGGGATAATGAAATTGGTTGAAATGTTGCGATCTAAAATGGCTTCCAAAAACACTGTCATGAAAATTTTGATGTGGGGCTTGCTATGGTTTTTTATATGGTACCCATGTGCAATCTTTGCGCCAAACCTATTTTTTTGAGGTATATTTTTCGAAACTGGCCGGAAATTCCAGATGAGGGACAACTTTTTTTTTGAAGCAGTCTAGTCCGGACTATATTGCGGATGAGGAACTATCTTTCTGACTTTTCGAATTTGTCCACGAGGACCCGGCGAAGATATTGAAATCGATAAATCGTCACCCATTATCTGCAGCTTCGGTAGCTGTGGAGGAAAAATTGTAATCGGTCGTATAAATATCTGTTATGCATTTGGTTTTTTTGACGCCATTATTCAATTTACTTAGGTTAATTAATCCAACAACAAATCAGTTCGTGAGATTTAACCGTTTCAATCATCGTTTTAAGCAATATATCATGATTAAATCAACAAAATGTCCAAACATTAATTGAAATAGAAGCGATGGACATACGAATGATTCGGGAATAAGTTGATCATCAACAAAGACGCAATGGGCAGCTGTTAAAATCTGCGATCTATTTCCAAATCTGATCCATGTTCCTCCGCAGAAGTGTTCGTTTTCGATCGTTTGAATTGACACCTTTAAAATTGGTAATTGAACAATTGTTTATTAGCACTTTTTGTGAATCCTCAAAATTTATATTTAAAAATCAATAGGACCTTATGGACGATGTTGATCGAGTAGTTTTTGCGTATATAAAAAAATCGTTCATTCAAATAAAGGATTGCCTAAAACTGGGCAAACTTTAAAAAATTACATATATGTTTTTTATTTGTCGCCCAATTAAGGCTCTATTTCCAGCGCATACAATTGCAATGATGTATATGTATTTCCTATATAAATTACATAATCTTGAACAATCGTACACATTGGAATAGTTCCATTAATAAAAACCAATGTTTATGAAGTAAACTTTCGTATGTGAGAATTGAGTCCATTCATTCCATGGTTGTCATTTTTTTGATCGTGTCTAGCCTAATCAACTTCTGCTTCATATCAAATCATTCATTCCATTCAATCTATTAGTTGTGGTTTTTCGTTCAATGAATGATAACAGAATCGTTCTTCAATATGCGATTAGTGTTTCATAAATGACTCGAGTCGAATACGTTGAAAGAAAACACTTGGAAATCAGTCACACTTACAATTCCACGGACATCACCTTCTTCGGCTCTTATTCCACCAACAATTTTTGAGAAAAATGTGATATTTCCATCACTGTCATACACAGGCTGTGGCAAACGGGGCACTGCACATTTCACAAAATGGAACTCTGAAAATACAAAATGTAAATTAGAATCGAGTTATATTTTGTACATCAATCTGGTGTTTTTATCAGTTTTAGATTCTTTCTTTAATTCATGGCATTTTTATAACACAAAATCAATATTTTGTTCAAAATTTCCACTGCTTGTAATGGGGACTGATGACTTTTTGGATGATAAATTTGCTTTAAGCCTATTTCTGAATTATTCTCTCTTAAGTGTTTTCCGTCAATCGAAATTTATTCTTATTTCCTTGCGGAATATGAGCGGAATATCAATAGGGATGGATGACACAATTTTTATCACAAAAACCACCAGTCTTTGTTCCAATTGACAAACACTAAAACTCGAATCAAAAAGGAAGAAAAATCAAAAATCTATTAGAAAAATTTTGTATTACGTTGAGCAATAACAATGGTGAAAACACAGAAATTGGTGAGCCACAAGAGATCCGATTTCATTTTTCAAGGTGTTCTGTATTTTGGACTGTATTTGTAACTGAAATCTTATTGCCGATTCTTCATTAATATATTTTCCACTATCTGTAGCACACGCGTAATCGAATGTAGTAATAAAATGAACCATAAATTATTTAAAATATCTTTGGCATCATAAATTACTTGAATTGATACAAATCGACTATCAATGCCTTTTCACTGTTTAAGGCATGATTGAAGTCCGTCACTTTTTTGTTACGTACAATGGTATGAATCACATGAATTTAAAGGATTTAATGTTTGCAAACCCTCTGTCGCGTATTGGTTCTTAAAGTGACCATATACGGAAAGTGCTTTAAAAACGTATCCACTGAATATTTTTCCACTCTATCCAGTGTAAATCTTTTAATTCTATTTTTTAAGCAAACCGCTCACTTTTCGGTGCGGATATTTTATTTATAAATTAGTTAGATCCGAATGAAGATTTAATACAAATTTCTGCGATACTGGTGCGAAAAAAGTATACTTTTTCGCGTAACGCGAATAAAGCCGCGAATAAAGCGATCCGCCCAATTTCATTGAAAAAAGTGGTACATTTCTGTTAGAGTATTGTGGGAAGATGTTAATTTTATGAATTTCTGCAGTGCACAAGAAAAAAAAGTTGTTTGTACGGTGGGCTCTTGGTCTATTTGTCTCTATTGATTCCGGCACACAACATATGTCAAAATCATTCGAAAACTGGAAATTGTGTATCAAAGGGTTAAATATAATTTCATTGTTGTCGAGTGACTCCGAATGAACTTTCAAATCGGCGACGTTTTTTTTTTTTTAATTGGTTTCCTCGCAATTTCTTGAATGATTATTTGGCGATTCGATGGAAAATGAAGTTCACTCAAAGTTAAAAAAAATGAACCTATCACATCTGAAGTTAATTGATAAGGTAAATAGTAAGGTCTTAATAGTCGTGAGTAGCTATTTTATCAAGATTTTAATCGAATCGTGATAAGCTTATAATTGTGAAATACAAAAAAATATTATGCACCTATAAATGAAATGAAACCATACATGATTCATTATTATCGTTAAGAATGAACAACGATTCAACTGCCTTCCTCTTATATCAAGCGATTCATCTTGATAAATCATGTGACAAGCTAAACGTTTGTCGCAAAAAAAAGAAACAACGAGAAATCTGACACGGAGAAAAACTTAAACAAAGAAAAAATGAAAACAAAGTATCTTTAGGATTGTGTCAATAACTTATTATTTTTTACGCTTAGATGGAAATCGTAAGTAGTTGGTGTGAGGTATACGCCCATTCCACACGAAATCAATCAAAATTCACATGGGTTCTCAGAATTGGCTGAAACTTTGCACGAATGTTGGGTTTGGCAAAAAACTCAGAACGCCAAAATTTCAGCCCGGTATCTATTACTGGTGGGTCCGTACAGATAGTCGAAAAATAGATTTTTTCGAAAATGGAGTTTTTTTGCTCTGCTTGTAAAAAATTTCAATGAAATTATAAGTAAATGAAATTTTCACACATTTTAGGGTTTGAAAAGCCCTTTCCAGCGCACATTTGATATACACGTCAAAAACCCATTTGGACCGATTTTTGGGCTAAAATAGCTTCAGGCTAACAAAATAAAAATTACCCCCATCAAAAGTGTCGATTTTTATGTTTTTATGTGATTTGGCGTCGAAAAATCTTCGATCTGGACAAAAGTCTATTCTTACACAAATTTGAAAAAATTTCGATTTTTTCGATTTTTTGACCATTCTGAACCCATTTTTTCATGTTTTTCGGCCAAAACCGATTTTTTTTTGCATAAAATGTGCAAATTTTTTGCTCAGCATTAGCTTTGAAACTTAATTTCTCATCTTCACATGCCATAATATTAGCATGTTTTCATGAAAAAATATGTCAGATTACCAAAATTTGCTTATCTCAATTGAAAACCTATATTTTTCTTCGAAAAGTCCATTTTTCCCCAACTTTAAGCCGATCTTTTGCTCTGATTTGTTTTCAAGAGATAACATATGACTCTCCCACTTTGATATCTGGTCAAAAACCAAACAATTTTAGTCTTTTTATAGACGATTTCTCTCATTTTTGCACATTTTTCGACCAAAATCGCAAGTATTTGGCCATTAATTCATTTTATTGCTAATGAATGCAGTGAATCTGTATGATATGATGAATTAGACACCTTTATAACAAAATAATGTAAGTTCAGAAACGATTTTGCCTCTCAAATCACCCAGTCTTTGTCGCTTTTTATGATTAAAGATCACAATTCTTTCACTTAAATCGGTTTTGTCCTTCTAAGCAAGCTAATTGCAACAGTTCAGCATTACAACTCGTTCTTAATCCTTTTTAATCCTATACCCGGAAAAATTGTTTACCTGACAGGAAACTTCAAACATTATTAGCAAACTAGCCTATAAATGCGTTTGTCATAAAGTTCGGTAAATCAGTTATGGTTAAATTAACGTGTGAACAACATCACTCTGTTTAGCAATTTTTTAGTCAAAAATTCTTTTATTTTTTATAAAATTATTCAGTTTGAGAAATTAAAATGGCTGATGATAATAATTACTGTTGCAACCCATATAACAACCATAAAAAGTATGAACCATACATACAAAAAATGACCGAATTAATAATAAATAGAGCAAAAGAAGTCGATATTACTTTTAAAAAGGGTCAAAAACTGTGTAAAAATTGTCTTACAAAAATTAATAGAAAAGTACCAGCAAAATCTACTGATTTAAGCCCATCATCAAGTTCTACTTCCTTTGATCAACCTGAAACTAGTAGGACTAAACGAGGTAAAAAAAGAAAAGTAACGGATGCCGCTCCTGAACTGGATGTTAGTGCTGAAATCGGATCTGAATCGGAAGACGATTTGGATGTTGATGAAGGCGGAGATGTCGACATGCCAGATGTTGAGCTCGATCTTTCCATTGGTCAATAGGGAAATTTTTATCTCCTTTTTATGCTTTCAATCAAAATTTTAACAATGGAGCACATAAAAAATGAATCAAGAGCCAAATACTTGCGATTTTGGTCGATAAATGTGCAAAAATGAGAGAAATCGTCTATAAAAAGACTAAAATTGTTTGGTTTTTGACCAGATATCAAAGTGGGAGAGTCATATGTTATCTCTTGAAAACAAATCAGAGCAAGAGATCGGCTTAAAGTTGGGGAAAAATGGACTTTTCGAAGAAAAATATAGGTTTTCAATTGAGATAAGCAAATTTTGGTAATCTGACATATTTTTTCATGAAAACATGCTAATATTATGGCATGTGAAGATGAGAAATTAAGTTTCAAAGCTAATGCTGAGCAAAAAATTTGCACATTTTATGCAAAAAAAATCGGTTTTGGCCGAAAAACATGAAAAAATGGGTCAGAATGGTCAAAAAATCGAAAAAATCGAAATTTTTTCAAATTTGTGTAAGAATAGACTTTTGTCCAGATCGAAGATTTTTCGACGCCAAATCACATAAAAACATAAAAATCGACACTTTTGATGGGGGTAATTTTTATTTTGTTAGCCTGAAGCTATTTTAGCCCAAAAATCGGTCCAAATGGGTTTTTGACGTGTATATCAAATGTGCGCTGGAAAGGGCTTTTCAAACCCTAAAATGTGTGAAAATTTCATTTACTTATAATTTCATTGAAATTTTTTACAAGCAGAGCAAAAAAACTCCATTTTCGAAAAAATCGATTTTTCGACCATCTGTACGGACCCACCAGTAATAGATACCGGGCTGAAATTTTGGCGTTCTGAGTTTTTTGCCAAACCCAACATTCGTGCAAAGTTTCAGCCAATTCTGAGAACCCATGTGAATTTTGATTGATTTCGTGTGGAATGGGCGTATAATGTTTCGAAACAATGGAATTTATGTCATGTATCAAACTGGTCACTAAAATATCGATCGTGCGAAGATCGCAGCAAATACGGTTGCCAGCATCAAAACGGTTGATTGGGTTATCGGTGGTGATACATTTTCTAGTTGTATCGTTTTTTCAATCCAGTCTCTGTATTCGTAAGCATTGGTATATATCCCGGGAAAAGTCTTACGTCCACAGCCACGACCTGAAAATGACACGATAATACGTGGAAAATTGAACGAAAATGTTAAAATTCATTACAGAAATGTCTATTACAAAAACAAGGTGTGAATAAATGGGGAAATGTTGTTGACAGCGCCACGCCAAAGCGGTTGCCCGGCCAACTACAGTCAGTCGTAACGCAAAGTGGCACAAGCATGTCCCATTTTCTGCATACACTCGTTGCGTTCATACGCGTGTATATGCGAAAAATGGTACAAGCTTGTGCCACTTTGCGTTGCGATTGACGTATGCTTCTGATTGAAAAATAACCAGATTAAAGTTAACTAAAACCAAATGAAAAGTAGATCCAAAAAAATTAGAAAACATATTTCCTGAAAGAGTACCTTTTCTATTTATATTTGGTAAAATTTAAAAAAAATCATAGAGTTGGTTTCGCTGCAATAAGACTTTGAAATGGATTGTTCACAATTAATTTCTACTTTCATTCTGACTAAACAACAAAGTCTTGTTGCAGCAAAACAAAGACTATGATTTCTCTAAAACTTGGTTGAATATAAGTAGAAATCACACTTTATCAAAAAATATATCTCTCAAATTATTTGGAATAAATTTTCATTTGGTTTTAGTTCATTTTAATCGGTTTTTCTTTGAACACAAGCATACGTCAATGCGTTGCAGTAGTATCCAAGTGACAACCAACGTGAAGTTGGCTGCGTTGCCCGGTATGCATTATGTTCACCCTTTGACAAAAAAAAGTAGGGATTTCTCAGAAATCAACATTCCATATTGGCCGATGGTTTGAAATCAAATTAACCTTGATTTATGAGTAAATAATCGGACTTATTTTAGTCATGAATCAATGATGATAGTAATATGAATATTGAAAATTTACCCCATGAAACGACTCCAACCAATCGATTTTGTCTCGTTATTCCACCGCCGCTGTCGCCCTATGACAATTTTTAAATTAAATTACAATTGTTGTTTTCATTTTGTTTGATCAGTTTTAAAAATATTGCCGATGATTCTCCATTGTTAAGTTATGTTATGTGTTAAATCAAAGACATATGCACATCGGCATCCTTCCTTCTCAACTGAGCCTTCATTTGTTGCTAACCTGACATGTGTCAGTGCCTCCGTGCATCGATCCAGCGCAAAATGCATGTGGACCGACTTTCCCATCGTGGGAGTGTGCTCCATTGCAAATTTCCCGCGGAACCACAGACACATTCGCTATCAACAGTTCAATTGATTTCGCCCTAAACTCTTTCCCAATGGACATATAAAATTCATAGATTACTAATGAAAATTCGATCGGATTTTTCACGACAAGATTTAAATGTTTGGTTCAGACATTCCGTGTTGCTTAGTATTGAGCTCGGCTCTTGTATTCCAGCAATTTATCCCAGTTTTACATTGTCAATACATTACTTATGGAGATTTTTGTTGTTTGTAAACAAATCTGCCTATATTTTTGCATTTCCACTGTACATAGTATGCAAATATGTGTATGTGTGTAGAGACAATACAAAAAGATAGGCAGATTTGTTTACAAACAACAAAAATCTACATAAGTAATGTATTCGCAATGTAAAACTGGGATAAATTGCTGGAATACAAGAGCCGAGCTCAATATTAAGCAACACGGAATGTCTGGTTTGTTTGCAAAAATATGAAACCATTTTAGTTTTTATTGATTTTCAATGGAATTATTCTCAAAATAATACATACGTAGTACCCCAACCAGCTGTAAAATAAAAAAAATATGTCAAATTAAAAATCAAGTGTTTTTTTGAAGATAAACGAAATCAAATAATGAATCATACCTATGCTACACGTTTGATTGTCGACAACATTTTCATCCGCTACTTGAATTGACCCAAATGTGCTTGTCTCCTTGAACGGTTTGTCCAGCTGATATCAATAAATTCAATCAAATTATTTAGGTTGATTTTACGAGCAAAAAAGAAGTTTATTGTGCCTATGCGAAGGAGGTTTTCCAAATAATACTTCGGTTTGTATGTGATATTTTCAATAAATTTGATTGAAATTATGGAACACCTCGCTGCAAATGCAGAAAAATGTTTTTCTGGTACATACAAATATCATGGCAATATCATCATGTAAAGTGTCCGGACTATATTGCGGATGAGGAACTATCTTTCTGACTTTTCCAATTTGGCGACGAGGACCCGGCGAAGATTTTGAAATCGATAAATCGTCACCCATTATCTGCAGCAAATGCAGCTGTAGAGGAAAAATTAAAAATCGGTCGTATAAATAAAGGGTCTTTCATCGGCGAAAAACTCAAAAATTGAGAAATATTTATTTATGAAAAGGCAAACATAATTATTATTTAAGGTGACCAACCGTACGGATTTTCGCGGGAAACTATTCCGATTTGTAACATTTTTTCGTGTGTCGGACGCAAGTTGTTGTTTACATATATGGAAAGAGGAAGTTTCAAAGAAGTTTTCTGCTCGATCAGATTTTATAAACAAGCACTGTAGCCCAGGATATGGCTTCATGAACCAACTTTTCATCATTTTCAGTATATTTTATTTTTACAAAATATTGCATATTTTCCGAGTTTTCCAAGATTTTCCAACCATTTTTATTTTATGGACGTATAAACATAAACTAGAAACGAATTCGTCAAAATTTTCGGGAAAATTGAAAATTGTGGAAAAAAAATTTGAAAATGAGAAAATCGCTATAAAAGGAAAATGGAAAAGCGGGGAAAATCGAGACCAGTCTCATTCGATCGGGCGGAAAATTTCATGGAAATGGTCATCAAAGGGCAGGAAAACATGCGTAAGACGCTTCGTTTTCGAGATATTGCAAGAAAATTGGCTTGTGTACGGATAAAATCCGTACAAGAGTAGAAAATAGTTGGTCACCTTATATTTATTTGAATATTTTTTATTTAAATAAATATTTTTGGTTGCCTTGTATATGATATATTCTTTATTATTTTATTGGATGAATATATCATGATGATTAAATCTACAAAATGCAACAATAATAATTGAAAAAAAGCGATGGACATACGAATGATTCGGGAATAAGTTGATCATCAACAAAGATGCAATGGGCAGCTGTTAAAATCTGCGATCTATTTCCAAATCTGATCCATGTTCCTCCACAGCAGTGATTGCCTTTGATTGTTTGAATCGACACCTTGAAAATTGGTAATTGAACAATTGTTTATTAGAACTTTTTGTGAATCCACAATATTTATATTTAAAAATCAATAGGACCTTATGGACGATGGTGACAGAGTATTTTTAGCGTATATGAAGAAAAAATTTCGTGTTGCCTAAATGTGTTCTCAATGAGCACTGATCATCTTTTAGGTTGTCAGAGTGTATTTTTTTTCGAACGAAAGTATACAATGTTTGCGGTTCAATTATTAACTAATTAAACTGGGCAAACTTAAAAAAATTACATTTGTCTTTTATTTGTCTCCCAAATAAGGTAGTATTTCCAACGCATACGATTGCGATGATGCACGATGATTCCCATAGATTCTGACACCAAAATGGGGTCAGATCAAAAATTCATAATGAGGTAAAAAATATTATCAATTCTATCTAGTGTAAAATTTAGCTTTCGGAACAAAAGTGAAGACCTAAAAAAAGGTCCTCATTTTTGAAAAATGAGTCGAAAAATGACGATGGATCCACAAAATTTCGTTGGGGTTCGAAAAACTCCAGCAGGGGTCAAGATCAACGAGATCAGACTATGTCAGAATCTATGATAATTCCTATATATACATACATTATTATATAATTTTGAGCAATCGTACACATTCAAAATAGTTCCATTAACAAAAATCAATGTTTATGAAGTAAATTCTCGTATGAGAGAGAGTTGAGTCCATTCATTTCATGGTTGTCATTTTTTCTGCTTTATATCAAATCAATCATTCTTTCCAATCGGCATTTTTGTTGTGGTTTTTTGATTGATGATCGATAACAGAATCGTTCTTCAATATGCGATTAGTGTTTCACAAACGACTCGGGTCGAATACCTTGAAAGAAAACACGAACTCACAATGTGCTGTGTATTAATCATATACTGTCATATTTTTTCACGCTGGTGGCGCACCTAGCCCATGGATGGATGTACTATGGGTTAGCTGAACTATGTAACTGAATGTCAAGTTGGTTGTGTATGAATTTTGACAGAACTTCTACGGCCATCACCTAGTTGCGCCACATATCACATCGTTCCATAGACATTGTGAGTTCGGAAAACACTTGAAAATCAGTCGCACTTACAATTCCACGGACATCCCCTTCCTGGGCCGTTATTCCACCAACAATTCGTGGAGAAACTGTTATATTCCCTTCACTTTCATACACAGGCTGTGGCCTACGGGGCACTGCACATTGCACGAAATGGAACTCTGAATCAACTAAAATGTAAATTCGAATCGAGTTAGCCATGTTTTTTGCATTATTCAAGTTGTATCTTCATCGATTCCGAATTCTTTTTTCATGTTTCCTTTGATTTTCTTCGCATTTTTGCAATACAAAATCAATATGTCCTTCAAAATGTTCCCTTGTTATTGTGATTAATATTTTTGGATGATAAATTTGCTCTGAGCCCATTTTTCAATCATTCTCTGTTATGTTTTCCTTCATTCGAAATTTATTCTCAACACATTTTTCATCACAAAAGTCGGCAGTTTTTTTAAAATTAATTAAGAACTCTAACTCGAATCAAAAAAGAAAAAAACAAACTTCACTTGAGAAAACTACAAAAATACTTTAAGAAAACCGGTGCATTACGTAGAGCAATGAAAAAGGTGAAAACACAAAAGTTGGTGAACAACACGAAAATGGATTTCATTTTTAAGGTGTTCTGTATTGTGACTGTATTTGAAACTGAAACAATGTTGCTGATTGTTCACTATCAATATATTATTTATTATCGTAGTACACGTAATCGAATGCAGTAAAGAAATAAATCATAAAATATCTTGAAATTGACTATCAATGCTTAAGAAATGATTGAATTCTGTCACTTTTTCATTACGTGAATCACATCGAATTTAAGTATTCCATGTTTGTTAATCCTTTGGTCCTTGGAGTGACCAGATACGGAAAGTGCTTTAAAAACGAAACCACTGAATATTTTTCCACTCGTGTTGGCTTAATTGCATTTGAGATTTTGATATAACACAACAGCTTTGCAAATTTATTGCCCTTTTTTTCATAAATTTTTGTTTATCTTGACTAAAACACTGGAAAATTCTTTTTTCGATTACTTTCCATACAAATGTACCATTTTTCAAGGGTTCTCAGGTCCTCAGTCCGTGGCTTATGGTACGAAATTGGTAAGTGAGAATCGGCTCAAAATAAATCTGAAGCTTTGTCTGATACAAATTGTCTTAACATGCCAGAACTTTTAATAAAAAGGAGTCATCAAATTCTGGGGAGTAAACCAATACTTTTCCTTAACCAACTATGCTTGCGGAAATATAATATTTCATCGTTGTCGAGTGACTCAAAAAGAATTTCATAATCGGCGACGTTTTTTTTGTTTTTTATTGGTTTCCTCGGAAAAAATTCGAATTAGGCGCTTCGATAGGAGATGAAGTTCACTTGAAGAAGTAAAAAAATTTACTCATCTACTAACATCTAAAAGGTGGATAGTGAGGCCTTAATAGTCGTGAGTAATTGTTTTATCAAGATTTTAAACGAACTGATATGAGCTCCTAATATTTGAAAAGTTGTAAGCACGTGCAAATGAAAAGAAACAATACCATCATTACCATTAGTAAAAAAATATTATTAATATAATTAGGGTTTAAAAACGCGTTATTTTTTTCAGTGTTTCCTAAAAACGTTTTTTCACAGAGCCGTTAAATAACGCCCAAAAAACGTTTTTTTTCGTTTTTCATCGTTATTTCTGCGGTATTTTGGACTGTCAAAAAAACACTATAGAAAAATAACGTTTTTATAACACCGTTTGCGGTATTTGTCGAAACGTTCGTAAACCCTAAATATAATATGCATAAAAGAAGTCTGACATAGAGAAAAACGAAAACAATGTATCAGAATTTCGTCAATAATTTATTGTGTGTTTTGCGTTTAGATGCAAGTCGTAAGTAGTTGATGTGAGGTACAATGTATCGAAACAATGGAAATTATGTCATGTATCAAATTGGTCACTAGAACATCGATCGTGCAAAGATCGCAGCAAATACGGTTGCCAGCATCAAAACGGTTGATTGGTTGATCGCTGGTGATGCATTTATCGTTTTTTCAATCCATCCTCTGTAGTGGTATGCGTTGGTATACACCCCTGGGAAATTCCTACGTCCACAGCCAACACCTGGAAATAACACGAGAATACGTGAAAAATAGAACAATGTTAAAATTCATGATAGGAATGTCTCTTCAAATCTGAGAATGATATTTAAGAAGCAGCAAGAAAATACGCTAATTCCGAACTGAACAGATTTTTCCCAAAACTCCAAACTTCTTCCTGATTTATTTTGGCAATTAAGAAAACAAAATTTTTTTCTCGGGAAATCACGAAGAAATTAAAATTGGTTGGAAAACTATTGGATTATTGCCTACTGAAAGGCGGTTTTATGCAGGAAGATTCATTTGAGAGAGTTCTGTTGCTGCAGTGGGACAGACCCACAAAACATCACTCAAAATACCATTATTTCGTGTTCTACGGGCTTAAAAACGAATAGAAATCATGCTTTGCACCTGAAAATTTTATCAATTACAATACTTCACCGCACAACATGGCTGTGCGAAAGAATAATAATGAAAAACCGTGCATATCGAAGGGGTTACCGAATAATTGTTTCCAACTAAAGTGAATATTTCATGTTTGCTGATAGTGTGATATCAAATTAACCGCGAAATCGTTATAATTATGTGATAGTATATCCAACTAATTTTAGCCATGCATAAATAATGATATGAATGAAGTGTACCAAATGAAACGACTCCAACCAATTGATTTTGACTCGTTATTCCACCGCCGCTGTCACCCTATGAAGAAAGAAATCAATTAAATTAAAATTGTTTGTTTGGTTTTTTGCTTCAGTTTGTTTGATAATTTTTTAAAACAACGCCGATAGTTCTCCATTGATAAGTTATATTATATGTTAACTCAAAGACATCCACCGGCGTCATTCATTCTCAACTGAGTCTTCATTTGTTACCAACCTGACATGTATCAATGCCACCACCCATTGATCCAGCGCAGAATGCATATGGACCAACGCGTCCATTGTAGGAGAATGCTCCATTGCAAATTTCCCGCGGAACCACCGACACATTCGCCATCAACAGTTCAATTGATGACACCCCATTCTCGGCCCTTATAAAGATTCAAAGATTTGTATGAAAAAAAATGTAGAACCATTCTTTTTTCGTTTCAAAATGAATTGTTCTTGAAAATGTGATACGTACGTGTAACCCCATCCGGCTGTAAAATGAACAAAAAAACAAGTCAAGCTGTTAAATGTGAGATCAACTGTTTGTTAGCGATAACACGAAATCAAATAATGAATCATACCTATGTTACAAGCTTGATTGTCGACAACACTTCTAGTCGCTAGTTGAATTGGCGCAAATGTGCGTGTCTCTTTGAACTGTGTCGTCAGCTGATATCAACGAATTCAATGGAATTAATTATTCATGTTCATTCACATTGATATTACGAAAAAGAACTTGTTTCTTTGCATTAGCGAAGGAGGTTTTCGAAATATGACCTCGTAAGTAAGCGGTAGTTTCAATAAATTTGATTGAATAAATAAAATTATGGAAAACCTAATGCTAAGAAAATTCTTTTTTTCCTGATACGTACAAATATCATAGCAATGTCATTTTGCAAATTTTCCGGATTGTAATACGGATGAGGAACTATCTTTCTGACTTTTCGCATTTGGCGATGGAGACCCGGAGATTTCGAAATTGATAAATCGTCACCCATTATCTGAAGCTGTGGGTGAAAATAGAATCGGTTGTATAAATATCTATTAGTCATTTGGTCAACTTTTGACGTCATTATTCAATTTTAGTCGGAAAATTATTCAAAAAATAAGCCTATTACATTGAACTGTTTGAATTATCATTTGAAAAGGTTTATTATACGTTTGAGCTTAACAAACACACTTGGAAAATAGCTTTGAACATACCAATAATTTAGGAAATAGGTGACCTTTACTGTCTATGACGCAATGAGCGGCTGTTAAAATTTGCGTCTTATTTCCGATTCTGAACCATGTTCCTCCACAGATGTGCTCATTTTTCCATGTTTGAATTGACACCTTGAAAATTGGTAATTTAACAATTGTTTGTTGAAAACATTTTTTGGGAACTTTGATATTCATTCAAAATGGGGGAACTTGAAAATTTACAACTTTTTTAAACGTTGACTAATTAAACTTTTTACTTTAAATGTAATCGAGATGAAAGTTTCAATCATAGTACGAACAAAAAGTTAGGTAAAATATCCCAAAATAGTTAACTGTTACTATTGTTTCACTAGACACTCATAAATTCCATAGAAAAAAATTATTAGGTAACTAAAATCTAGTCAGCACAGTCACAAAACTTGCACAAGGAGTGCCTATAACACCGTACTATAAAATAAAAGTTGTTGTCTTACACATTGGGGTTTTGAATGCACGATGATAGATGACCCCAAAACAAACATCTCTGCATTTTTACTTTCTCCGGGACACGTCTGAATAAGAAAAATATCGACTTTGGTAAGCTCTAAGGTAGCGCCTATCAACATATCACAGTGAAATTTGGTTTACAGCTCTAAAATTATGGTAGAAACCTACATTACTTGAAAGGTGAGACCTTCCCATAAATTTTACTGTGATATGTTGATAGGCGCTACCTTGGAGCCTACCAAAGGCGATATTTTTCTTATTCAGACATCTTTCGGAGAAAGTAATGATGCAGAAATGTTTGTTTTGGGGTCCTCTACCATCGTGCATTCAAAACCCCAATGTGGGAGACAACAGCTTTTATTTTGTAGTACGGTGTAACCTTCATTGATTCATTTTTGCTATGATTTTTCGAACAGGTTTTAAGCATGTCTGGCTCAATCAACTTCTGCTCTTTTTTAAATCAAACCTTTTTTCCATCAGTATTGTTCAGTTGTTTTGTTTACTTCGGTGATTGATAACAAGAGTATTCTTCGAATTTTTAATTGTGTTTTATAAACAACTCAAATCGAACACATGAAAAAAGCACTTGAAATCGCACTTACAATTCCACGGACATCCCCTTCGTGGGCTTTTGTTCCACCAACAATCCTTGGGAAAAATTTGATATTTCCATCACTGTCATACACGGGCTGTTGCAAATGTGGCACTTCACAATTCACCGAATGGAACTCTGAATAAAATAAAATGTAAATTGGAATCTAGTTAATCAAATTTCTCACATTATTTTAGTTGTATTTTTTATCAGTTTGAGATTCTTTTTTGCACGTTTCTTTTAAATTTCTTTGAATTTTTGTAACACAAAAAAAAATTTCATTCAAAATGTTCACTGCTTGTTATTGTGGCTTATATTTTTGGATGATAAATTAGCTTTAGGCCTATTTTTGAATTATTCTCTCTTATGTTTCCTTTCATTCGAAATTTATTCTTATTTCCCTGGGGAATATGAACAAGCAGGCGATAGAATAATTTTCGACACGAAAACCACCAGATTTTTAACAACTCTAACTCGAATCAAGAGGGAAAAAAATGCAAAAATCACTTGAGACAACTATAAAAATACTATAAGAAAAACCATGTATTACGTTGGGCAATAAAAAAGGTGAAAACACAAAAATTTGAGAACAACAAGTGAATGGATTTCATTTTCAGGTGTGTTGTATTATCGACTGCATTTGATACTGAAAAAATGGTGCCGATTGATTGCTAGTCATGTATTATTTATTATCTGTGACAAACGAGTAATCGAATGATAAATTTATTGATAAAATTATATTACACATTGTATAGAGCAACGTTCAATACACGATATTCTCAATGGGTTCGCTTGCCGATTGTTTTGTGCGAATTTTGTTTGTTGCACAACTTCTTTCGATCGATTGTGAAAGTTTCGCGAATGAAATGTGCGTACTCGTGTGCCACATGATGAACAATGGGCCAAGTGATTACACCGCTAATCTGCCAACGTTGATAAGATTACTATACAATAAGTTCCATGTCGTGTTCAAAGAACACTGTTCATATATGAACGCATACGATTCTAGTGAGGGAAGACTAAATTAGTCTCATAAAGAAGAAAATATTTTCATTTTTCTTAAGTAGACTCGTTTATTCGAAACTTGAACATTCGATTTGAATCAAATTCGAAGAATTTGGTCGAAGCAACATAAATTTAACTAATTGAATAACAAATGTAGATGTAAATACAGTTTTAATCAAGAAATACAATCAGAATCACACTTCATTGCGATGACACTTTCCGGCTTTAATAAACGCGATCGTCTCAGCCGGCTTTAATGAAACGAATCATCACAAGAACCGCGAACCTTGAATGCAAATTGGATTTCGGTGCCAATTTTATCTTATCGTTCTACTCAAATCTTATCTACGAATGGATAAACATTTTGAATGTATAACCAATTCCACAAGTTATCGCAACTATTGCGACTAACTATGGATGAGATTGCAAGAAGACTATGTTTTTTCTTCGATTCATATTTTTCAATTAGAGGCTATATTTTTTGCTGCTGAACAGGCCCGATCTGAGCTGAATTTCAGGCGCCCGAAGTATTATTTTAACGCATTCACGGTGCGAGATTTTCATTGCTAGCAGAGATCTACCTTAATAAAATTGATGAACAACATGGATGTTTGCTAGCAATGAAAAGAACATCTAAACCGAGTTTACTGCGAATAACATCTCTTTTACACTAACAGCAATTCGTACACGAACGTGTCAGTGTGACAGTTGGTGTGAGCGGGACAAAGTTTGACTGCAAACAATTTGGTTGTGTCAGTTCAAATGTTCTTTAACAAAAAATTAAGTATGAGCATTGTATCAGTTAAAATAATTTAACCCATTTTGGTCCCGCGTTGCGAAAACGCAACACTTCAGAATTCCTCACCTTACAGGGGCCATCACGTACAGACGCGAAAATTTCGAAGATTTCCGAAAAAGAAAATGTATCTCAAAATCTAATCGACCTGATTTTGCATTTTGGCTAATTTTATCATCTAGGGTGTCCATCAGAGGTCACCAGGCCCACCTCTCCAGAAATTCGGAAAAAATCGACAAAAAAAATGTCCAAAAAAACAAAGGAAAACCATTGGAAAATTGGATTTTTGGTTTTTGAAAATTAAAGGAGAGATTGACGTCTATTTTTCATATTTATGCCAAAAAAATTAACCCCTGTGCCAATTTTCAGGTCATTCTAGCCAGCAGAAAAATTTTGGACCAAAATAGGTTAATGTTGGTTTATTATTTTCCTATTCTGATACAAATTACGAAAAATTTTGTTCAAAAATTTTCGTAATTTTCATCGATTTTCTTAATTTGTATCAGAAAAAGAAATTAATAAACCAACGTTAAATTTAAAAAAAATGAAACTTTGGCACCATTAACTCGTTAGAATAACGCTTCACGCGCCTGGGTCAGCGAATGCAACTCAGCTCAGGTCTGCTCAGCAGTAAAAATATACTCTCTATTTTCAATAGATAATTATGATTTCAGATGATTTTTGATGATTCTGTTTGCGTTAAAGCAGAACATTTTTGCATGGGGACAACACTGACAAGAGATAAAAGTGATGAAGAGATGATGTCACTGACAAGAGATAAAGGTTTGGTGTTTTTGCCAAAATTGCGAAGCTTGAGATGCTTTACGACTTCACTGCGGTCAGCTACCCTTTATCTCTTATCAATTCCGCAAAAAACATAACAAATTACGACAACTCAAAACATTTCGAATTTGGGATATTTTTATGACGACTTTCGGGAATATTTCATGAATGTTGTTGGAATTTATTCCAATTTTTTCGTATTTATTATGTCGATTTTTGTAATTTTGATGATATTCGGGAATTTTATGACGTCTCTTTATTTATACTTGTTAAATTTTCTTAACCCATTTGCAGCGACTGTAAAATATGCTTTCGATATCATTTTGACAAATTCGTTCTTTCTTTACTTCATTCAAAGATATTAGCATTTGAAAAAGAGTGAAGATTTGAAACCTCGAGGTGATTACATCATTGAAAAGAAAAATGTTCAGATAAATAAATTTTACCACTTGGTGATTCTGGGCCTAAAATTTGAAGAAAAAAAATTCTCTGTAGGGCGTATGTTAAAATATAACTGACTAATTCAGCTGATAGTCCTGTAAAATGTAAATCACCACGCTACAACCAATGAATCATAAGCCAATGTGTCATTGTTTTCATTTTTTTTTAATTCACAAATTCAAATAAATTTTTTTTTGACGCATAGTTGATGTGAGATTATTTATTTGTTGTTTTAATGTTTTTTCATGTAGTTGAATAAATCCCATGCCTCATATTTCCAATTTTTTTTAAAAATCATTACATATATAAGCAGCTTTCTGGTAGTCCGATCAAAGTTTCTCGTTCAGAAGTGATGTTTTTTTCTTCGATAAACATTCAAATTGAGTCTAAAAGTTCGTGTTTTCTTTTGTTTAATCACCAGTGCGAGAACACTCGGAAATTGTCGAAAGTCTGTGATAAATTCGTCAGTATTTAAAGCAAAGACTATAACAAAATGAGCCAAAAACCATTTGGAAAAACGAATAACATTAAGCTTCCCGTTTGTGGTCAAAACGCAGCTCAATCTTCGCTCATTTTCATATTAACCGTGGATTGTTTTGAAGAAATATTCAGTTGGTTATCACTTGAAGATTTAGTTGCGTTTGGTCAAACGTGTAAACGGCTGCAGCAAATTGCCGGTCAATATTTTTACCTCAATTATTCGGCGTCATCGGCGGGTTGTTCGAATAATGGTGTTTACATCAGCGGTCTCAAAGTGAACGGCTTCAGTCAATTCATCCACAAAGTATCAATATTATTGTATAAAATTGATGACGGACGATTCCCGTACATCGAATCAAACTGTAGTCAGTGGCTGCGTCAAATCCATTTGATGTTTGTTAATTTAAACGGGCTAGAATCGGATTGCGCCAAAAGAATTTTATCCAAAGTTGAAACGCTGGAGGTGAATCACTGTACGATCCATGGCAATATTTACGACCAATTTTTGAAGTTCTGTCCAAATGTCAATCGATTGTTTATGCGATATTCTGACAGTTCAACAGACGTCCAAAATCTATGGCTCAGACAGGCATATCCAAAACTTGAGCATTTGGAATGGTTGAAACTGGAAGAAGACAATGAAATCGATCTAGTGTCAACGTTTTTCAAGCAAAATCCGAATATTCAAAGTTTTGCCACCACCGCCACTTTTATGTGGAATCAAAGGCACTCATTCAAATCGATGATTGGCCAGCATTTGGATGATTTGGCTGTTGACATGAATTTTTCCACCGTTCCATACGCAGATTTAGTGCTACATGAGCTTTTCGAACTTCAAGAGCAAAACTTTTATAAGCGCTTACATTTGTACGGCCTCGGATTGCAAATAAATCAAGAGTTTATTCAGAAGTTGGCGAAATTGAACGGTCTCGTGAAGATTTACCTACGGAATATCGTCGGTGGCATCTCATTTTCACCATTATTTACTGTGAAGGAGCTCGGAATTTACTTGTGCTGTGTTTATAACGATTTAAAACCACTGGCAAAGGATTTCATTAATGTTGAACGAGTTTACTTTTGGAAAGCCGCACCCAAACATATTTTGACGTTCATGAGATTTGCAAAAAAATTGAAAAAGATCAAAATTCAAAATTTGGACGATGAAAATGGAGCGGAGCACATGGTTTTGGATCTATCACAAATGAACCGAGTGCGGGGGAAAATGTACGGAGCGAAGAAAGTGACCATTTATGTGAAAGAAAGCACTTTTTTGGCCACCAAATACGCAACCAACAATAGAGAATTTGAATTTGTGGAAATGAAACGATCTGAGTCGTATCAATGGGAACATCATTTTGGCTATTGAATCAGATCAAATATATTTGAATCGAATTGAGACTTATAATTATTCGATTAAATTTCTACTAAAAATGATCATAACAAGTTGATAAATTTTAAGTTTATTCATTGAATGTCTCATTCAAAGCTGTTTTGGAACGAGCATCTTAGTCTTAGCAACAACAAAATTATGCATATTTTGGTAATAAAAAGCTGGAATGCCCTAGAATACACGTGAATGCTCTAGAATAAAAATAACATATTGTAACACAACAACAAGTCTATATAGAAGAAACGTTTTGAAAGAAAATCAGCTGTTTTTATTCTACACCATTCATTTGTATATTTGCTTATGAATATGATGATTAATTTCAAGTGAACAAGTACAATTTTATTTGCGTTGCTTACGCATGATTTAATCTTTCTTTCATTATAATCTTACAGATTTATTTTATCTCATTACGTAATATAAATGTTTATATTTATGACTCTTATTTAAAATTTTATCAATGTATGTTGATCTGCTGGTGAATCATACATTTTCTGAAAAAAATATTCATTCGTTCTTGGAAGTCCGATCGGTAGACAATTAATTGCGTTAAGCTTCCCGTTCGTGTTCAAAACCATACACAGTCTCTACTCATCTTCATGTTGAGTGTGAATTGTTCTGCGGATTTATTCAGTTTGTTGGACAATATCAAGGTTTCGGTCTCGATCAGGGTAAATCCGAGGAAAAGACTCATATATAAATTTTCATATGTTCTGTGTGATTATGATCTATGTGATTTTGAGTCACTTTCCAAATTGCCCGAATCCCATCATGATACGCAAAGTAAACAAATGTTTT